CTGAAGACTGTCCCCAAAACAAAGTATGAGGGAATTCAGGTGTTTTTTTCTTAGCAAAGAAATGACTCCAGGACAAATCCCTAAACTCATGCTATCTTCTTCAGACTTTTCCACTTTTGAAGATCCTCTACATGAGGTCTTCTATGAGGAGATAGATTATACCACAACAACACAGAAGGACAACCTCTTTGACAACCCAGGTTTGTACCATATGTACTTTTGTGGTCATGAGCTGGCTTTGGTTTGGTGTTTTTAGCACCCACAAATTTTAAGTCAATTTTATTGGTATATTTTAGATGTACATAGTGATAACATTCATCATGTGGAATTTTTACTTGTAATGATACATCTTGGTAATTATTTTTCCTAATTTCTCTCCTCACTTCAACCACTCTTTCCCTCCTTATTTACAAAAGCATTACAAGTAAGATGTACTCTAACCTTACATAGTCAACATTTTTTTTGTACCTGGAATTAAGCACAGGACTTTGCACTTACCAGGAAGGTGTTCTGCTACTGAGCTGTACTTTCCTGTCAGTAGCCTCTCTATATATTTTTTTTCATTTTAAGCATTTGGTATATGGCCTCACTACACAGCTTGGACTCATAGTGATCCTTTTCATTCTCCCCAGTGCTGGGATTACAAGAGTATAACAACAGACCCAGACTGGGTTCTAGGCTCTCTGTACCTCCAGGACAGGACAGGCATAGCATTCAGGTCCAGGAATTGAACACTGGGCCCTCTACTTACCAAAGAAGCCTTACAGTAGCCTCTTAATAGGTAGAAATGCAAACCTTTGCTCTACAAGTATGCAAACTCAAAATTTCTCTGTCTGTCTCCTATCTGATAATTTTATCCCTGTCAGAAAACCTGTTTGAGAACTCAGTGACTGGGCTCCCCTATGGCACAGAAGACAATGAAGAAAATGGAGAACTGGAGTCTACCCAAGGTAGTAGAAACAAGTCTTTCTTTTGTGTGTTATGTGAGAAGGAAGAATCTGATCTGAAGAGAATGTTTTTCTGTGACTAAGATGAAGATGGTTACTTCTCAGTATAAAATATTGATTTTTTTTGTATGCATACACTCTGAGTGTGAAAAAGAAAAAGTGATGTTCTAGATTCTTGTCCTTCATAGCTACTTCTATAGAGTCACAAATATACACAAAATATACCATCATAATTCAAAAGCATTTTTTTCAAAAAGTATAGTGTAAAGTAAAAAATAAAAAAAAAAACTCAGATACAAAATGGACATTTATCGGTATACCACATTTTTTCTAAGTTCCATTATTGAATATTATAGGTGTGTAAACTCAGCAAAATATTCTAAAAGAGTCCAGTAG